AAGCAGGGAGCCCGATGCGGGACTCGATCCTGGGACTCCAGGATCATGACCTGAGCCGAAGGCAGTCGCTTAACCAACTGAGCCACCCAGGCGCCCTGTTTTGCTTTGTTTATTGTTTATTACCTCCCCCCTCCTCCGAATGCAAGCATCATAAAGGCAGGAATTTTATGTCTCTTATTCACTGATGCTCCTCAAGCACAGAACTACGATTGGAACATAGCGGGCTAACAACAGACGTTTGCTGAATGAATGTGTGAATGGCTGAGAGAGTTAATGGGCCGTCTATCGGAATAGAAGGGCATGCATAGGAGGAGGAAGGGGGGGAGAAGAGCAACAGAGAGGCTAGGGGAACGTGTGTCTTATTTGGAAGATTTTATCTGATGATATTTGGAGTAGGAGGGTTCTATCTCACCGTGTTTTTAATAAAGCCACCTAAAAGTGAAGGTAGAACATGAAAACACTTGTGGTCATTTAAAGAGTGATCTTGAGGTCGGTGTTGACTGACCCTCTACTCAATCCAGAATGAGAAACTGGCCATTGTCTAATGCACGGGGGGAAGAGTAGACAAGTTTGAGCTATACGGTCAACCCACTTTTAGTGGAACTTTGAACATCCGTGCACACACATGGACACACACAGTCTTGTCTGTGGACCTACAGACCAAGTCTCGGGGACAAGAATCTGATCTGAAATGATGAACAGTTCAGTCTCTTGCTCACATAATGGCAGATATGAAATGAGTTCGCCCCTCATGTACTTTCCGCCAATACTACCACTGCTGCACAGGGCACGTACCCCCGTGCCAAGGACTGTATTACGGGCTGACGTGCAGTACTTCTGTTTTCACAACCACCCATGGACAATACTATAATTATCACACTGTTATAGATGAGAGAACTAGAGATGAAAGAGAGCAATTATTCTGCCCAAAGTCGCACAGCTAGTAGATGGTAGAGCTAGAACATCATCCCAGGGCGACTCCAGGGAAGGGCCTGGCAAACACTGTAAAGGGCCAGAGAGCACATGTATCAGGCCTGGTGGGCCGTAAGTCACAACTCCTCAAGCCCGCCTTACGAGGACAGCCATAGACCATACCTACACAATAGGTGTGGGTGTGTTCCAATAAAACTTTATTTACGGAAATAAGTGGTAGGCAGATTTGGACCACCGGGCCTAGTTTGCTGACTGTGCTCTGGAATCTACCACGCCTGGAAGAGCCTGGAAGGATGGCAAAGAGATTCCTGAGTGTTTTTCATAGTTAGCTCTAACACACCGGGGGATGGGCTAAGACAGAGAGGTGAACTAGCCAGGGACAGAGGGTGGCAGATGGGGCACTTACATTTCGACGATGCCCTCTGGAAGGTTGGCGGGGATCTCAGTCAAGCCCTTCCCTCGACAGTCCACGATGTTATTGCTGCAAGTGCAGGCCGAGGGGCAGGAGAGGGAGTTGGCATTGCAGGATGGAGGTTCGGAGTGGGGGCCTGTGGGGCAGGAACACAGCGGTCAGTCACAGCAGGGTCAGGAGCCGCCCGGCCTTCTGTGCCTCTTCGCCACTTCGCAGCATCACCTCCTGGAAAGCTACCTGACATTTTCACCAGCTGACATGTCCCCTCATCTGGGAGACACAGCTGCCACTGGCCAAATATTGAGCCAAGAGGAGAGATTCTGACCTTGACCTGTTTCTGGATTGTTCCACCTGCTCTGTCATCCCATCATCCTCATCTTTCAGAGAAAGGGCTGCTCGCAGAGTCAATCCCACGTGAAAATACGCCACTGGAATGCACACTGCGTACACGGGGACTACATTCTCAGCCCAATGTTTGAATGAACACCCATGTTTTTTGGCTTTTATCCGGGGATTGGATGCTGAGTATAGACACATTTTCATTCTTTACTCTAGAGGCTAGAACTCACTCCTAAAACCAAGTGGGAGGAAAAAAGGCATCAGAATTTCATTATTTGGGGCATTGATGTTGTCCAAGTGTCATTAGCAGTGACATCATCCAAGGCATTTTCAAATAGCTTGTATGTCCAGAGAACATGCAAATAAAATCTACCTCATTAGAAAAAAAGGCAAATAAGCTTGGAGTCAGCTTTTAATTTTGAGGTGAGAACCGGTATGAATGTAAAGCAAAGTGGTAAAAAACCCAGGTAAATGGCATCTAAGGAGCTTATTTAGAAAGTCAAACATAGAGAAATACATATATTAGCAAACTAACTCAGAATTCAAAGGGTCACAAGAAGCAAATTCAAGGGGCGCCTGGGTGGCTCAGTTGTTAAGCATCTGCCTTCGGCTCAGGTCATGATCCCAGGTCCTGGGATGGAGCCCTGCATTGGACTCCCTGCTCTGAGGGAAATCTGCTTCTCCCTCTCCTGCTCCCCCTGCTTGTGTTCCCTCTCTCGCTGTGTCTTTCTGTCAAATAAATAAATAAAATCTTAAAAAAAAAAAAAAAAGTAAATTCAAATGTTTTCAAGACATAAAAGTTTTCATACTATCACTACTTCTTCAAAGTGAGATAAGAATCTCAAACCTGTGGTGAGTTTTCCAAATATGGACATTGTGGCCCAAAAGGTAGACCAACCCCAAAACCTCCTCAGGACCTTATCCCATGCCTGCTAGATCTAGTTCACAGGGATTATGTCAATGTCTTTCCAGACCCCCACCCCCAGAGCAGAGGGCCATGGGCTAAGAACAAGCTCAGACCAACTCTGCAGATCTCCTTGCTGCTCGGACATGGGAATTCTGGCTGGGAGCCCTTGGGTAGAGATTAAATATGAAACACAAAAACGTCTGCAGGGAAAAACTAATTTTGGTTTGGCCTCTGTTCACTGGAGAAGCTGAGTCTGGGAAGCCAGAGAGGGTCCAGCTACAGTGGTTGCATCAGAGGACCAAGGGGGCCTGCAGCAAATGCCTGTTTGGACACTGAGACTCAAAGCGGAAGTTTCCCTCTCCGCACTCGACAGTCCCTGTGCCTGGGGCAGGTCCTTCCGCAAGGGCTCAAAGGGATGCCAGTGGCTTGATCTGGAACATTTACCTTGCTGGAAAGTGCTAACCCAGTGATCAAAGATTCTTATTTCCCTTGGCCTCACCTCCTCTCTCTCTCCCTCATACACACACCAAATATTTAAAAATATCCTCCTAGCTGGGACATTTGAGAAAATATTCTTGTCTAGGGCCCAAGGACTTCAAACTCTCCAGTGTTGCACCAGCAGATCTCATGGAGACCATGAAAAATGCCAGAGAAATGATGACTTACACCAAAGTCCCCAACTGGAACATTCTCTGAGAGAAGGGATACGCACTTTGTTCCAAACTGGGAAAGTTTTCTATTTCTGAGGAAATGGCAATCCCAGAGACTCAGCCTATGGAAGCCGCAGATCAGGAATGAGAGTGCTACGGCTGTGGAGTCCCACTGGCTCAATTTGAATCCTGGTTCTGTTATTTCATCCTTATATCCCCGTGCCTCAGTTTCCCCCATCTGTGAAATGGGGGATGATGACAATACTTATTTCATAGCATGGTTTTGTTGTAAAGGCAAAGGAAGTGAACGCATGTAAAGTATTTAGAAGAATGCACGGCGCAAAGTCAGAGCTTAGTAATGTTAGTTGTTGTTATCACTACTATCAACGAGTCCAGCTCTGCCACCAATACCCCTCTGAGCTATTCTGCTACCATCTCAGTGAGTAAGGAGTTTGGACTGCATGACTCCTGAAGTCCTTTCTGGATGGAAAGGTTCATAACTCCTGGTCTTCAGAGGAATGGAAGCAGAAGGAGTAGGGCACCCAACAGCACCTGTCTGTCCTCTGCTCCACCTTGTTGCAGGTGGTCAAGAGGATCTACTGTGGGAAGAGCCCTGCCACACACACATACACACACACACACACACACACACATACACCCCGCCACATGCAAGAGAGGCTGGGAGTGGCAGGGCTTCAGATGTCAGGGCTTTTGAAGTGCAGATCATGCTCCCCAGAGAAAAATGCCAGGCCTGGCCCTCCACATCTGGGGGCAAAAGGTACCTAACAAAGTCAGGGTGAATTGCACACCCTGGGCACCTTCCTGTTTGGGCAATGTCAGGGGCTACACGGAAGGCTGAAGCCTTGCTCCTGTATTTCCATCCACTGAGGCAGAGGGTATCCGACGGTCGTCCTTCTTTTGACCTGTCAAAATATTACCCAGTTGGGGTGTGCCAGAAAGGGAAGTGGGGGAGAAAGACATTACAGTCAAGGGCTCATGTGGGCAATAAGAAGTTCTGCAATGGAGTTTTTCCCAAAAAGCCCCTTTTGACATCTATGCTGAAATTAAATCAGTTTCAACCAGACCCAGGTTGTAGTCTTGAACCCCTCTGGGGATGAGCTGGGTCTTTCAGAGGGTGGCTCTCAGTCTGTAGGCGGCATGTGCTACATTTCAAGGGATGTTGTCAAGATAAAAAAAGCCTTTGAGAAAGATTCCACCACCAGGTCACTAACAACACCTTTAATTACGCAGAGAGAAACAAAGGTAATTATAGCCTCTGTCAGCATCCTGAGCTGGCGGCTCCCCAGCCAGGCATTCACACATGGTGAGGGTGTTATCTTCTTGTTGAAATAAAACACTTCAGGTTTAAGATGGGATTGAAAGATGGGTTCATTTTCCCTGGAAATGTTCCCCTCTGATCAATGCCCGATGGACTGAGCCCACTTCCTTTTGAGCCTGTGAGTGCTGTGATGGCAGAAGTCCCTCCCCTTGGCTTTTTGTCTTTGGACAGACTGCGACTAGCATGTATATTCTACAAGGGCAGTGACCTGTTCTGTCTTATGTCCTGTTACATCCCCAGTGCCCAAAATAGGGCTGAAACACAAAACATGAACTCAGTAAATATATCTAGGGTGAGTGAAAGGATGAATACATGAATGAAATTGGTCTAGAAGCCTGGCAGAGTGGGGGCTGACTGTGACTAAGCTATGGGGGGCAGGGGCAATCCTTCTAGAAGGGCCCTGAGGGGAGGCCCCCTGAGTTCTGAGGGCCCTGGGCTCTGGTTGATAGGATCAGCCATACTGTGGAGGGACGGTGTGGCTACTGGGTGGATGGGACTTTCATGCCTGAAGCTCAGGTCTTTCTGCCAACAGCTCAGTGCCAGCAAAGGCCATCCGCCCGGTCCCCTGGGGCTCTCTCTGAGCCTCGCTCACCTGCACAGGTAAGGGTGTCCTAGGCACACTGCTTAGCTCTGTCAGCAAATCCCTCCCTCCCAGCCTTTCCTGTCCACATATATTGAGAGTGATGGGGGTGGTGCAGGTGACAGTGGATTTCCAAGGGGGACAGAGGGAGGAAACACCCACATTTCTACCCAGGAAATTCTAGGAGTACTGTACCAGCGTGAGAGGCAGAGAGGAACGGGAACAGTGTTTTGATCGGGGTGGAAAGAGTCTCCACCCATCTTTGAAGGGAGGGGACGATCTGGGCCCTGTGTCTGCCTACGGGCACGCGCGTGCTCCTGTTGCAGGAACACGTGCCCATGGGGCCCATGAATGTTCACTGTCCCCGAGCAAGCCTGCCTGCCGCTACCACCTCCTCCTCCTCTTGGCAAAGACTGCAGCTTCAATCAGAGTGTAGTGATTCACTAGCACACGGAACCCCTGTAATCCCTGTTCAGAGATGTGTCGTGATGAACTTGGAGGGCACGTGGACTTGCTCTTTGTTTTTAAATGGGTGCCCAAGCTATCCGCCCTGGGAACTCTTTCAGCGGGACGAAAATGTTGCTGCCCTGAGGTGAAAGGAAGTTCTCATCCAGAACAGGGAGACGGGGATGTGGGCCAAGTACCTGTCTGCCCTCGGGGCCTGTCTCCCCTTTCTGAATCACTACTTCAGCTCAAGAATTTCAATTTGGAACCAGAGCCACCTCTGTGCCACACAAGGAGCAAACAGAGATGTCCCACCTTCTGGTTCTCCTGACTCCCCAGACTGTGGCCTGATGTCTTTGGTCCAGTGCTCCAGGGCAGGGCAGAACGTGGGGCAACCAAGGTGCTGGCCCTTCCCTGCTCCTCCCTGAGTATCAGGGTGCTGATTCCCAGCAGGGGCGGGGGCCCGCAATGAGCACGAGGGCAGGAGTGCATCCCCAGCTAGCCCTGTCATAGGGAAGCGCCTGTGACGGCTGGCAGGGACAGCGATCACATCATCCTTTCTCTGCTGACTGCACCACACCCCGTCCAGTCTGAGAGAGGAGGAGGAGGGATGATTGGGGAGACTGGCTCCTGCCTGGCTGCCTCCTCAACTTTGTTCTTCTATTCGGCATCACGCCAAAAGTGGACAGTCCTAACTTGTGTGCCCAAATGAATGGGGCAAAGGTCATCAAACTTCAGACCTAAAAAGGGTCACGGAGATGGTGAGAAAACCATCCCTTGGAGGGAGAGTACTTGCCCAGGGACACAGTGGTGGCCAAACTGAGAATGACGTCATTCTCATAATAGCAGCTAACGCTTATGGAATATTTCCTATGTGCCCAATACTGCGTCAAGTGCTTTGCACACATGATCTTACTTGGTTCTCACAAAACCCCATGACGTAGGTTCTATTATTATTATTATTTCCATTATACTGATGAGGAAAGCGAAGAATAGGGAGGTCAAGCAAAGGGTTCAAGATCACGGAGCTAGTGAACAACAAAGTTCTAAAATTTGGTCCAGCGCTCTTTGTACCATCTCCTCTACCAAAAAGACACCCCAAATGCCTCTCTTTATTGCCGCGACATTGAAAACCACCAGGGCCTGGGAATCTGAGGAAGCTCAGGGGCCAAGACACAGACTGTGTAAGCTACGCTGGAGATGGGGGGACACTCTTGTTAGAGCTGTGTTTCTTTCTTTCTGTCTTTAAAGGGACTTCCACCCAGCAGAGTGCACAGAATTGAAAAATCCAATGGTCTTGTGAGCATGTGGAAATAAATTAATTCCAGCATTCAAATTAAGCATCCCTGTTGGCCTCTGGCCTTTCAAAAGCCAACAACAGACTGCAATGACAATGGGGTTTGAGCAATTATGATGAGAATATAAATGAACGTGATTTAAATACCAGAGGCATGATAATTTTAGGAATGGCTAAATAAACCTAATAATCTCATTCTTGCCATGTCCAATTATGGTGTTTTAATTAAAACCTCCTAAGGAGATGGGCGGCTAGTCATGGCTTACCTTAATTATCTTTATACTTAGTAACTAGTCCCAAATTAAAAAAAAAAAAAGAAAAAGAAGGGGAAAGTTTCTTGTTTCCAGGGAGATATGCCTCTTTCATTTTTAATAATAAATGAGAAAGGGTTTCTTGAGAGGCTTTTAGGAGCAACTATTGTTCTAGGCATTGGGGCACCTGAAAAATGTCTGACGTGAGCCCTTCGCACTAGAAGACAAGATTGATCTTCAGGAAAGGGTATCTCACGCTAAAAGGCTATGGGCAGGTAAGTGTGAAATAGGTGGACAAACCAATGAATACAAAGATGTTTAAATGAAAGAGATAACTGACTCAAGAGGTCAAATATTTAACTAATACCCTTGAATTACAAATTGTGACTAATAGAAACTTCTTCAGATTAAGGCACCAGAAGATTGATGCATGGAAGGTAAATCCTAGAGCTTAAACCCCAACATAAACCCTTTAGGTAAGGATGGGGAAAAAAAAACAAAACTTGCAACTCACATGAGTCGAGTAATGGCCAAAATAGAACCTTTTCTCTGGTCTGTTATCATGAGCTCAATAAAGTCCCAGTCCAGTTCAGGCAACAAGCGGCAGGGACCACAGACCCTTCTAGTCCTAGGGCCCTGACCCTCCTCTTGAAAACAAGAAAGGTTCGCAGAGGAATCCTCACAGCAGTAGCTGAAGGAAACCAAGCATTCCAGCTGTATACCGTAAAAAAACATTAATAAAAAATAAAATATAGTCTCACACCCTTTGAAAAATTCCCTGGTGTCTCCTTAGAGGAAGAAAATAAATACCTTCGATTGGAAGGGTAAGTTGACAGAGGAGATGAATTTTGTCAAAGTGCACTGCTAGCAAATTTCTGGGTTAGCTGGAATGATAAGGCGCCCATAGCCAGGGCTTCTGGGGAGAAGAGGCCTGGCTCCAGTCGGCTGGATTTAATTCACAGGGAGATAGCAGGGACCTGAACAGGCAGGGCCCTCCCAGGCTGAGTGAGATAAAGCTCTTTCCTGTCTCCGGAGTCATTTGTTTAGTGAATTTTTTGATATGGTTTAAGGGCTCAGGGAGGTTTTCTGATGCTTCCCTGTCAGGGGCCACTGGTGATGAAGCTACATGCAGGGACGGCTTAATTGGTACCCCATGCCTTTTTTTCTCCTGAGCAGATGACCTCTATCTTTACAGATATGTTCTTATTCCTGCCTTTCTCGACGGAAGTCCTCCTCTGGTGAGTTACTGGTGGAAGAGCTTGAACAAGGAGCACTGATGGTTTCGCAGTTTACAACCAGTGGGATCAGATTCATACCAAACTGCCTCACGCAGATGCCTTGTGGGCTCTGCCATGGGTGGAGCCTGCACCCTGCATGGTAGGGGTGGGGTGGGAAATGGTCAGTGCGTGAAAACAGCCCTCCTCGTTGACCTTCCGAGTGTGCACATGCGGAGTCTTGCTCCACCCAGCTTCCTGTGGCATCCCTTTAACACAGCCTCACGAACTGCCTTTAACAGTTATTAAAGAGGTCGAACCTTCTGGAGGGGGTGCTCCTCCTGCACCCCACTAAGATGGTGGTGCTTCCTTCCTCAGGGATATTCAATTCAGCCAACCATTATATCTGACTTAGACCTTTGCAGAAAGCAACCCCCTGCATAGTGTTCTGTTTTTAACCCATGAAAGCCTGGACAGCATCAAAGAATCCCTTCTGCAGAGGGGTTCCCACATACCACTCTCTTAAATTTCTACTACTTGGTGTGGGGGTGCAGATTAATAGCACATTCATGTCCGGAGTCTGTGGGCCAGATTCTTATGTCCTCAGAAAACACCTGGTTTCGTATTACAAATCATGAGGGATCACTGCAAGCCCTAGGCTTAATTGATATAAACAGGGGAGGTGATAGGGATGCTCCTATTTAACTGTTAACCCGCCGGCTGGATCTAGCCTTTTCAAAGCAGGGAGATTTGGGGCACGAGCACGTCCAAGACCTAGGAGGGTCAGCCTCACTCCCTGGGGTTTGGATCCTGACTGCGACTGGGTAAGCAAGTTGCCACTCCTTTGATGGGAAGGTGCTTTCCTGACGAAGTGGTATGTGTGTTCGTGCAGAGCATTAAGCCTGGCACCCACCTGTAATGATGTGTTTTAACATTCTCTCTAATTAGTTTTTCTCACTAGCTCTCGGATGACTCCTGCACTCTGTAATTATTTCTTTCACTGGCACTTATGCCGATATTGTACTCTTTGCCTAATAATTACTATAATTATAGTCAGTATATGTGAGTTGGGTGCCTGTGTGATAAACGGTTTTATTATATGTGTTTGACAGGAAGTGATTTCTAAGTGGGCGTCTATAGGAAATTATCAAGGTACTGCTCTGAGACATGTTAAAATGTTTTTGGATAATAAATAACTTGATGAAGTAGTAACATGACAAGAGAGAGGGGCAGGGGGCGAGATGAAGTTGAATTAAAAAAAAAAAATCTTCCATATTGCCAATGCTGCCTAAGAGCAGAAGGGGGCCGGTTTGCCCTGCTGGCTGGGTTGGGGCCCTGCAGCACACGTGGGGCTCAGGCTGCCTTCAATTCTGAAAACAGCAATGATCAAGAAATGTGAGGCACGCAGTCCCTCCCTGCCCACCCCAGCGCCGAGCTCCCTATCCTTCCTCCTTCCAGCAGGCTGACCCCCTAAGATCAGCCTTCAGAGGCCACTGAGCCCCCATTCTGGGACTGGGTTCCTGGAAATCGGGGACGCCTCTGTGAGAAACTCCTCAACTGAAAACTTTGTTTTTGAGGAAATTCAGGGATTAGTTCTACTTTGCCCCCAGAAAGAGAGAGTTGGTGGTAGTAGAGGGTGTCAATGAAAAGTAAAAACAAATAAGCAAACTTGGAACTGAGGACTGCATTTAAAAGCCACTACATCCTCTGGGAGAATCTTCTCGGGTCCCTCAGCCACCTCCCGTCCCTGGAGGTCTGCGTTGCCTTCCGTTCTGTGCACAGTTCTGTTTTCTGTACTACGCGGACAATCTGTGCTTCTATTACACTTCAATTACCCACAGATCAAACTCTTATGTTTGCTCAGCACATTTTGTGGGCCCACTAAACTATAATAATTATGCTCCACTTACTAGCTCTTACCAAGTGCTGTGTATTATGCTAAGTGCTTTCTATGCATTATTTCATTTAATCGTCCCACCCATCCCTAGAGTTATGTACTACGATTTTTCCATTTTGCAGACATGTGGTAACTTGCCAAAGTCACACACTACTAAGGGGCAAAGCGAGGGTTTCCAGCCAAGCAGGCTGACCCCACCACCTCCATTAACTTGTCTCTCAACTTCTATGAGCAATTAGGCAATAGGCATGTGTGTAGGAAACGCTAAACAATGTACTTAACACATGTTAAGTTTCTTAGCATCGATGGACGATGAAGCTTAACAGAAAGGGATTCATTACTTCCTTGAGCAGTTTCCTTTGCTAGATGACAAGAACTTCTTCCTCAGAACCCTTCAGGGCACCCCAGAGTCCAAGTGACTATGGAGTGCTGGGGAACATAGGAGATTCCATGCCCAGCTCTGGGCTGGGTGATGTCGGGGAGGGCTCGGCGGTGAGTGAGTCACAGTACAGACGAGAGAGGGGCCGGGCAGGCTCACCTGGGCACACGTACTCCTTCTTCTGCACATCTGCCACGTTGAAGCCCCTCAGGTGCACAGGAGCCATGCAGAGTGTGAACTGGCCAATAGTCCGCCGCTGTCGTAGCCAATCTGACAGCCAGGCCAGGTGGCAGTCACAGTGCAGGTGGTTGGAGTGCAGGCGCCTGGGAGAGCGGGGGACAGAGGTAAGATGTGGTCATAGCATGGAGTGAACAGAGCAGGCCAAACCTCTGAGCCCCTCGGCCCAGCGTGATAATCCTCAGGAGCCCAGGGAAGCATCTCCCTCTGCACTCGTGAGTTACCACGGGAGCCTCAGCCCTTTTACTGCCAAACCACAAACGACTGTTATCTTCACATGCAGGGCACATCCCACGGATGCCTCCGGCATTCCGAGCAAGTCCCCATTTCTTAATAGTAATGCCACTCTTTTTTTTTTTCCCCACTCAAGAAAGCCTCAGCATGTAGGAGGAGGAAAGTGACATTATTAAAGCGATGGTTCAGATTCGAGTCAAACTTCCAAAGAGGTGACTTGGTTGCAAATTTCAGTACTATAGTAGCCTGGTCTCCAGATGGCTTGAAACAGCTCCTCACTCTCAACGCCTCAGTCTACAGTGGCACTGTGGCCAAGACCTGCCGTTGCCTTCACTCTTTCTCCTTCATTTCCTCCCTACAGTGAATGAACCCCTACAGGGAATGCTGGGGAGCTTGTATGCACTAGCCCAGGGAGCAGGGCATGCGGGGCAGTTTCCCTTTTGAAGGATGCATCTTCTCTCCACCCACCCCCCTTTAAATAAGGAGCTGCCCATCCCAGACTCCTGGAGCTCACAGCAATGTCTCCACAGCCCTCCTCTTCTTCTCAAGTTAAATTCCACCAGGTGTATTTGCTATTCTGGTTCAGGAAAGACCCCTAACCAGTTCCGGGACTCTTTGGCCTTTCCCCTCCAGTAGCTGTGATTCCAGATCAGTTTCTTGCCTCTGAGTGATTAAGAGTTGCTAGAGGGATCTGCATGTCCTACTTCTGAAAGGAATCCCATCTGGTTAAATGACTAGAATTTACTTTCCATTAATTGAGGGGCAAACTAAGGATACTTTCCATTAACAGGGCAGAGGGGGGGCAACCTAAGGATATCTAGGGGCTTCTACAGGTTCTTCCCCAAGGTTTCTCGATCAGGGGCTTCCACATTCCCCACAACCTTAGCTCATTGGAAGTGGTGGTAGATAAGCTGTAGTCTGATGGGTTTCTGATGCAAATTTCAAATGCCCAATCGTGGACATGCTAATCAGCCAGCGGTATCTTGGGACTTTCAAGTACTTGGTGTCAAGTCGGTTAATGCTGAGTGGGGGCCTGAAGCAGTGGCTTGGGCTACCTGCATGCCTGAAATGGAGAGCGTTGAAGGGCTCTTGACCTCACTCCACTGAGTATAAAGTCAGCATTGCTCAGCATCGCCCATGTGCGGCTCCCTTGGGGGCCGTGCCGGCACAGCCTTCCTGCCATGGCCTGGGTGCAAAGCTCGGGCAGGCCAGGGCCACTGGGGGCCTCGACAGCCTCAGGGGGCCCCAGATCCCATCATATCTGACCAACTAAATGAGCCCATACCCATGTAGGAGGTAATTTTTTTTTTCTGCTAAAAAAAGTTTGAGAGGATTTTTATGATTTTGTTTCCAAATGATTAATTTTGATGTTGTGATGTTCTTTTGGATTTCAGAGTCAATACTTTAAAGTTGAACACGTTTTCATAGGCTCCTAGGCCCAAGATACTGTGCCTATAATGGGCCCCAAGCGATTCTCCCCTTTGAGTTTCAAAGCTCAGACTCCTATGCTGCTTCCTCTTCATCCGGCACTTCAGAAAGAGGTGCCGCAGGCAGGAAAGCGTAGGGGGGCACGGTCCCAGGTTAGGGGAAGGACATGAAGGAGACGAGGGAATTCCTTTTCTATCCTGGGCCTTCTTGGGAAATTTCAGCATGAGTGAAAATGATCTGTTTCCTATCAGTGAGTTGGGGAGAAAGAGACAGACAGACAGACAGGAGGAAGAGAGAAGGTGGAGGGAGAGAAAGAGAGGAAGGGGAGGGAGAGAGAGAGAGAGAGAAGGATGGGGTGTTGGTTCTGTGGCCAGGAATAGACCCCTGGGTGTAAAGGCTGCCTAGGAAAATGGCGACAGTGACAAGTGACAGTCCTCGTGACAAGGTGGAGCAAAGGCAGGTTGCAGTGGTAACAGAGACTGAGGTGCTGGGGTACTTCTGTGTGCCGGGAGGGTCAGAGCCTTCTAATGAGAGTCTGGCTTCGATGAGGAAAGGTGGCTGCCTTCTCTGAAGTGACGTATGGAAGTTGAGTAAACAGGGATTCCTATGAAGCGCTGAGCATGTGCCCACAAGGTAGATCAATGTTGACAAATTCCCATCTGTTCCAATCAGGGGTAAGAGATCAGTGGAATGACAAAAGTGAGGTTTAAGTAAGTCAGATCCTTATTAAGCGGATTAATTTCTGGGAGAATGAAACTGTTGGAGGTTTTCCTTTTGGAAGATTACATTAGGTCGGTTCTTTCTCAATCCCTGCCAGCCAGCCCCAAGCTACCTTTCTTCCTTACCTTCCTACGGATGGTTCCTAACCTTTTGTCTGCCTTTGTGGGGGATTTCTCCCCTTCCAGGTGAGACCATGGGAAAGAGGTGACCAAAACTGACTTGGAAGCCACCTGAAGGCTCTTGTCAAAAGCCCAGGGCAGTGGATGGGCTCAGATCCTTCTACCCGCGACCCTCCTTGGAATTTTAGCCACCAGAAGTGCTGGCAGAGTTGAGCTGGGCAGACTCTTCCAAGCATCTGCCTTTCATATCATGTTTGGGAGATCAAATTGAGTAGTATCGTCCCAAATACGAATAATGAAAGGAAAGTAATCACACTGATCAGAAAACGTGAGCCTGGGCACTGCCAGGAGTATTCCTAATCTCCGTGAGTGAGAAGAAAAATTACTATTATTATTTTTTATGTTAGTCCCCATACCATATATTATTAGTTTTTGATGTAGTGTTCCATGATTCATTGTTTGTGTATAGGTGTTTCTACGCAAAGAAAAATTATTTTATTTACTTTTCATAATTTTGGTGAATTGGGATGGCAATGACCTGGGCGAAGGTGGCCTCCAGTGGCCCTTCAGCCAGGTGGCTGCTCTGGTTTCCCCTTCCTTGGCTCTTCTGCTTTTGTTTCTGCTGAATGGAAGGAGCTCAAGCTCTGATGTCAAACTGCGCCAATCTGACTTTGGCTCTGTGCTTTTCCGACTCTTGACTTTGGGCAGTGATTTAACTCGGGGCCTCAGTGTTATGATCTATAAAATGGGGACTATTAATGGTGCCCCCTTCCCAGGGCTGTTGTGAGGACTGAAACGATTCATGAGAAGGGCTTAGCACAAGGCCCTGCACATTATTAGTCATTAAAGTAATGTCTGTGCTTATTACTGTCGCGAGGAGAATAGCCCCACGCTTCTGTCTCCTCCCAACCCACAGCCCTCCCTGTACAAGGTACCATTTCTTACTTAGACACCAAGGCATCAAGGTGCCTAGGTGTTTCCTGCATGTATTTCCGCAATCTTTCGCTGATGGAAACACCGTATTCCACGTTGGCAAAACCACCTTCATAGAAGATAAGGTGAATGAATACAAATGCCAATTTGTAAAAGGTGCCTTTTAGCCACAGGCGCTAAATTAAATTTCCAGCAAATCCTTTTAGAGAGGGTCAGTGTTCATTTTCTATAAAATGTGGCTTTCTGAATTAAATATAAAAGCTTTCCTTTAGAAATCCCATTTATGACTTCCTTCCTCTCTCCTCTTCCCCCCTTCCCCCACCACCAGTCTCCCCCACTCCCACTTTAATTACAGTGAAGGGGGATTAGTCAGTGCAAGTCTCTGGGGAGTTCTGTACAGAGCCGTCTCTGAAATTAAACTAAAGAGAAAGTGGCAGCAGGACGGAGCAAAGAGAACAGACGAGATTGACTGATTGATCTGAACTCATCAGCTGAGTGTTCGGGACCACAGGGAAGGATGACAACAGAAATGAGGAGAAGAAACTCTTTCACCCTCCTTTCTCACCCAAGGCAGCCAAACAAGGCACCTGAGAGCCAGACCCAGCTCCCGCCCCGGGACCCCATCCCGTGGACCCAGCCCAGTTTCTATTATTGCTGTTCCTAGATGGAGAACAGCAAGAGGGGAAGCCAGAATCACAGAGGGGCAGCCACAGGAATTGGACTGCGGGTTTCTGCAGGTGAGGGTCATTTTTCTTCTATTCAACCACCCCGTCTGGGGAGATGCAGGCCCTGCACTAGGAGGCTCGCTTTCAGCTTTCCTGGCCAGAAGCCCTGGGCACGCTCCTCTGCAGCTCATTTGTGGCTTGCCGTGGACTGTGAAGAGGTCTTTGAAGACCTCATGGTTTCTCCTTAAAACCCCATCACTGCACCAACCCACTTCAAAGGGGGAAGGCAAAGGACAGATTTTCTTGATGGAATTATGCTATCACGTGAGGGACTGAAGGAGAACTGGGGAGCAATGATGAACCCTGGACTCAGATGCTTCTTCATAGTAACTATGTACTTTCTATACTATACATAGTAACTAGCATTTGTTGAGTGCATCCCATGACAGTACTGCCAGCGTACCTCATTCTCACAGCTGTGAGACAAGCATTTATGAATTCACTGTCTTTACAGGGCAGACAGATGAAGAAACTTGCCCAGAGTAAGTGGCAGTCAGAGCTAGCCTTTACACTCAGGTCTGCTCAGGGAGCTCAGTGCTGTTTCTTTACACAGTGCCTCACTGCTCCTTGCTTCATTCCTTGCCCCCAAGGTAAGGTCACTTTCTCACTCATGCAGGGGTTCTCAAACGTTATGAGCATCAGAATCCCCCTGCGGGGCTTGTTACAACCTGAAGGCTAGCACCACCCCCAGAGATTTGGATTCCGTGGGTCTAATCTCATTCCATGATGCTGATGCTGCTGGTCCAGGGACCCAACTTTGGGAACCACTGCTCTAAGGACTTTTAAATCTCTGTGGATTCCATGTTGCTCAGGGGCCACTGATTAGCTGGCTGGTTGCTTAGAACTTTCAGTCCAGATTTCTGGATAGAGTGATGATAACAGTAACAGTATCATTCATCATCTACTCCGTGGCCCTCCACATATCTCATCTCATCCAGTCCTCCCCAGCACCCCCATTGACAGAGGAGGGAACAGAGGTCCCAGAGCTAACAAAGGGCACAGCAGGCATTCCAGCCCTTTGCCTTGGCCCTATGTGTATTTAGCTGAAAGCTCTTGGGGGCTGGCTCTCCACTTCTACTGTAATGCAAACACTAATGAAGTTCCACCAACACAAGAAAACCATCCCTATGAACCCCTTTGGAAAGCCCAAGAGTCCATTTGCAGAGAAACTTACAAAAGGCTTTCTGGTTGAGAGGAGAGGGGAACTCCCCAGGTAATAAAGGCACTGGGGCTGCTCTCGGTATGGGGTGTTGTGGGGAGATTTGCTTTCTGAGTACACAGAAAAGGAAGGCTGGAGCCTACCCCAGAATTAAAGGTCAAGAACAAGTTCCTGTATTCTATCAGAATATCATCAAGGGAGCAGGGGAGTGTGTTGGGTGTGGGCTGGGAGGATGGAGAGAAGGCGGGACTAAGGCTCCCACTCTGCCACGGCACACAGAGGGGAAAACATGACCATGGCACCATGATAGAACTGCCAATGGCAGGTGACATCAGCTCAGGAAATAGTGAGTCATTATGTCTCAGCTGTCCATGCTCTGTGACAATGTACCACTAATAAACTTTTCCATCAAGGTGGAACACACAAAGACGAATTCCCCCATCCCAGGCTAAAGAGAAATGAGTCTGTCCACCGTGGAATGGGGGTTGAGAACCATGGATGGCCCTGTGAAGCTTCTCCCTCATCTGGGGCTCACCAGCACCTTAGTCAGTGGTGGAAGGAGGCAGGGTTTGCTCTAGGACCCACGTGCAGAGCCAGCACAACAGGTTTCACAGGTCAGAGCATGGCACACGGGGCTGAGCGTGGCAGGGAGCAGGTGGGGCAGAAGCAGGGACCTTTACTCACAGAGTTCGAATCTTCGGCATGTGGTTGAAGCTCGTGACCAGGATACGGCTAATGTTGTTGTTGTTGAGGGTGCTGTGAAGGTAGAGGGAAAAGGGAAATGGTTAACAAGGAAGTAGCATGGGTGGGGGGAGGGCAGCACCAAGATGTTTCTGGAAGTGGGGGAGGGATAGGTGCGACTGCCAAAAGGATCATAAATCAATAGCTATGGGGCAGCTGGAGACAAGGGGGCAGATCTCCAGATGGTAAGAGAATCCCTGATTCTTTTTCTTCAGGCAGCTCTTTCATCCCCTCTGCTGCCCTCTCAGTACTCACAGACCCACCTGCAGCAATGATTATCACTTCCTGAATCCTACTATGTGCTGGGTGCCTCACTATGACATCTCTAATTCTCACAACCACCACAGTGTCCGTTATATATTACCGTCCTCATTTTTTGAGAGAAGAAAACAGATACGGGTCATTTTGGTTAGTAACACACATCCCTGCTAGGCAGGCATTATCCTCGTGCTACAGATGGGGAAGCGGAGCTCCGGAGAGGGGAAGGAATTCTCCCAGGGACCCCTGGCTGCTGAGCTTGGGAGATGGGACTTGAATCTAGCACTATCTTATTTCAATTTCCCTGCTCTGCCCATTGCCCATACTGCCGAACACAGGGTGCTACATGGACAGTTTATTCTGGAAGTATGTTCTCCCTAGCTCACCCCCTCTTACCTTCCCATGGGCCCCCACTGGCCAAGGAAGAAGCCTTTCTTTGGAAGCCTTCACTGGTTAAGCAGACTTCTTTTGTCCTTGGCTCTTGGTAATCATATTACCTTTCTCTTAAAATGCCCTCCAACGTTTTCTATCCTGTGCATTACTACGGCCCCATGACCTGGTCCATATCCGATTCACATTGAGTCTTATATACCCTACTTGTTTGATCTTGGGCAAATTATCAGCATCTCTCAACCACAGGTTCTTCATTGGCAGAAGGAGGCAGGTAATGGTACCTACCTCACGGGCTGGTAAAGGGCTTAGCGTGCAGTATAAACTCAGTAATGGAGGCTACCATTTTACTGACACTGGTGGAGTCCTGTCCTGGTCATTCCTGTTTCCCCCAACCCCAGCCTCCATAGAAGTGGAAATACAGCGTCATCCAGCACAGTGGCCCCCATACCCACTGCACCCAAGGGGCCTGCAGAGATTCTCCACAACAGGAGGAGTCCAGTGACTATACCCCGCCTTGCCCCAGGCTATCCCTGCAACTCCCCAGGGCCTACTTAGCATTTGTTTGGCTAATAAGTCCAGAAGGAAATCTGTTTACCTAAAGACATAGAACCTAATACTTGTCCCTCCCTCCTCCCATATTTACCACACGTCCAACCATTTTAGGCATAGGGGATGGTAAAGAGGAATGCGCAGACCACGTCTGTGTGGACTGCTTCTGCCTCCTCCATACTTTACCAATGTTCCTGTGCAGACACTTGGCATTTTATGAAGTTGAAGCCACGTAACTGTTCTGTGTCGTATGGCTTATCTTTTCTAAGAAGTGTGTGTTAACCCATCCTATCTCCCCACACCCAGGTAGCCTTCAGAATATCTCATCTGACAAGGCTGAAGAATCTGCCCCTTCACTTCCTTGGCAGGAAGCTTCCTGGGTGTGGGGACTATGCGCCCCCAGTCGTCCATTGGATGAGGAATGCCTCTGGGGCCAAAACGATGCCTTTGTTTCCCTATCTGTCCCAGAGTTCTAGGCTCCACACTTTGGGGGTACCTCGTTAGGGTCACTGCCTCACTACCAGACAACAATCTGACCATCTTCCTCTCTCAAAGGCAAAGAGCAAGAACCCTTTGCAGAGAAGAGGCCTCCTTCCAAGCATGCCCGGCCACTCACATCAGGTTGAGTTCACAGCCAGCCCTAATTTGAGCTGAATACACAGTGCAGTTATATGCAGGGCTCGGCCATAACTGCATCCGGCAGGAGTCCGGCAGCAATGACTTATTAATGTATTACTACACTGATATTTAAATGTGAGCTGTAATGAGGGCTATAAAACATTTACGATAATAGCAATTATTCTAGAACCAAAATGACTAAACACGGTATTCAGACTTTCCTGATTTGCTGTGTGGGGCTGGCCAGCCCAGGGATGACAGAGGGCTGGTGACCTCTTGGATGCCAACTTCCATGGCAGCTACAGGTTTTGTTTCCCTGATAAACCCCGATTTATTTGCGCTTCAGTCTCCGTGGCTTGTGCCCATGCATGGAGTACGGTGCTCTGTCTGTTGCTTGCACCCCTCAGTAGCGGGCTATCAATGGAGTTGGTGGTTGTATAACCCCCCCACGGTGGAGCAGCGCTGGGGAGCATGTGCCTGGAAGGCAGAGACCGGGTTCAGATTCTGGCTCTGTCACTTGCAGCCCGTGCAACCGTGAGTAAGTTATCTTAATCTCATTAGGTTTCCTCCCTCAACATGGAGATCATAATGGCACCAATCTCAGAGCTTTGGTGGCGATTTAATGCGATGATACTAATAATTGCCACATTAGCTGAGAGCTTACTGTGTGCCAGGCAGGCACTGGGGCTGAGGGTTCTACTTGTACCATCTCATTGCTGCAAACACTATGAGACAGGCACTTTTGTGATCACCTCCATTTCATGGATGAAGCAAGCCCGACTCCAGGAATGACACCTGGATTGGTTGTCTCCTGCTACAATAACAGATTACTAAAAATTTTGTGACTTCAAGCAACACACAGTCTGGAGGTCAGAAGTGTAACGTGGGTTCATGGGACCACTTCTCTTCTGGCGGCATCAGGAGAATGTTTCATTGTCCTTTGCTGCTTGTCCTCAGCCTGTGGTCCCTTCCTGCAGTACTCCGACCTCCTGCTTCTGTGGTCACATCTCCCACTGTTCACTGTGACCCACCTCCCTGTAATGAGGAGCCTCATGAGGACATTTAGAGCCTAACTGAATAATCCAGGATAACCTGCCCATCTCAGGATCTTTTAGTTACATCTACCAAGTCCCTTTTGTCATAAAAGGTAATATTCCTAAGTTCCTGGGATGAGGATGTGGACATTTTTTTTTTGGACAGAGGGGCCTTATCCAATCAACCACCATGCCCTGAAACAAAGCACACTTGTGAGCACACAGCCTGGGTCGCGCGCAACGCTCAGGAGGACTTAGCTGTTATTTTAGCTTGTGTTTCTTTAGTCTTTTATGGTTTACAATATGCTTTCGCGTTCACCTCATCTGGTATTTGTAGAACTCTGAGGTTGGGATTCTTATGCCCATCTTACAGATGAGCGATAGGAGGCTATGACGCTCAGGGTAGCTCATGAGCTCCTGGAGGATTCAGGAATCACTGTTCTTTCTTTAAACCATAATTTCTCCCAACTTACCCACTGCCTCCTGTTTTCAGGGCCAGTTTGTTACCCCAGCATGGATGTTCTCTGTCATGGCCACCCTGGCACCCGAAGCTAGAAAGAACTGCACAAGTGTCTCTTGTTCTATAAACTTCCTTGAAAATTAACCAACAGGAAAATAAACGGTTGGGTCTGACGATGACCCGCCACTGGATGGCTGGTCCAGACTAAGCTGTGGGGTACTCATCAGCTTGTTTTATTTACCTCCATCTCCTGGAGGGGTTCTGCCAGTTCCACAGTCTAGCTTCAACCTCACAGCTCTGCTCCTTTGGAGATACTTTGAGAAAATATACTTTACCCCAAGTCACCCAGGCTGGAGGTTTTTCCCCAAATAAATGCTCCCAATTCAGCTTTTTCCATCAGGTATCAAGATCAAGCTCAGGGTCAAATTAATTCTATAAGACTTCAGAACTACTCTGCCCTCCCCCCACACTTTTGCACCATCACAAGCAACTACATGGGCATTTCAGTATAAACCAGAAATAAAGCCATCCCCCCCCCCATGAGATTTAACAACTGAACCACCCAGACGCCCCCCCACTCCATGAGATTTAAAGACAGTCTGCCTACCTCCCATTTCTCTTTTGTAAAACCCTTACCTGTTATACTGTATTTATATGGAGACTAAGGGTGACCTATATACTGTGCAATCACTCTTCTGTTTTGTCATAATCAGAACATAAATGTTTAATGAAAAAGGATCATTTTGCATATTAAAATGATCCATGCCATGTGGATAATGCTATTTCTACCAATGGATCCCATTCTCTCTCTCAGTTGTGAGCACTAGAAGGAGGGCATTAACCTTTTTTCCCCAGGGCACTGAGGGATTAGTGGACTTATTGCTCCTGGGGAGCACCGATAGAACCTTGGTACCCTGAAAAAATCTGCTTGTGCTCCTCAGCTAAATACTGTGCTACTGTGGCAAGACCAGGGCTCCCCGGTACTGAAGAACGCACGAGGAAGTTGTGCACATATGGGTCCGTTCCAGTGGGTGACAGACTACTGCCCACAAGTCAAATCCCATCCAGTACAGCCTGTTTTTGTAAATAAGGTCATACCCACCCGTTTATGTATTGTTCGTGGCCCCTGCTTCTCGGTTATAACAGCTGAGTAGCCGTGACAGAGACCACAGGGCTAGCCCTAGCCTAAAATAGTGACATCTGCCTTTTTATAGAAAATGTTTGCCGATCCCGCTTGCTCTAGAACTGGGAAGCTTCAGTCTTGCATTTGTCAGTAATGACCTGTGATGTGCTGGGCAAGCGGATGAGGGGATGAGGTCAGAAGCTCTCAAAACATGGGTAGGAAAACCCAAATAGCCACTGGTAGGGCTGGGACTCAAAAGCAGGGGATCTAACTCTAGAATCCACACTGCTGGCCCGCATCACAGGCCCACCTGGAAGATGGGTCCCACTCTTCCAGAACCTACAATGCTGTGATGAGATCAGAGCCAAGGAGAAGGCCCTGTTCAAGGGACAGGGCAGGTGAGTCCATCCTGGGTTGGGTGTGGAATGAACTTGGGTAGTGGTTTTCTAAGTGTGGTCCCCAAACCTGCATCATCACTTGGGAACTTGCTAGACATGTGTATCTTCAGGTCCCACCCAGACTTACTGAATCAGAAGCTCGGG